TGGTTGTTGTTTTTTTACTTACTGACATGACAAAAATGTGAAAAACAAATAACCTAAGCCAGGAACTTGTCATTATTTCTGACCAGACAGCTCAAAATTTATATCATAATTGTAGATTTGGTGAATAGTGTATCAGGCTAAGACAGGGACATCATTTTGAACATATTTTATGTATTTTGCATTCCATTTGAACTTAAATATCCGCCAAAATATCCTTTGTATTCAAAATGAAACCAGTTCTAGTTGTATCCGTCATTTTATCAAGATAGAAAAAAACACAGTTGGTGGTTCATTGCACTGTGGCAACCCCTGATAAATCAGGGATGATGTCGAAGCATAGTGATTGATCGAAGTAAGTAGTTTTTATTAACTTTAGGAACTAAACTGGAATGTAAAAATAATAATCAAGTTAATTTGAGGTTCACAATCCTGGCTTTTTATGGCTACTTTTACACAGTCATTCCAAGCGATTTTGACATCTATCAGCTCTAATTCAATTTTGAATACTTTTGTGTGTGTGTGTGTGTGTGTGTGTGTGTGTGTGTGTGTGTGTGTGTGTGTGTGTGTGTGTGTGTGTGTGTGTGTGTGTGTGTGTGTGTGTGTGTGTGTGTGTGCTTTGATCCTGAGACGCATGTTGGATTAAGTTTGCGGTTAATTTCTTTCTATCTCCATGATATGCAAATACAAAAAACGGGAAAACAATTAAGACAGATCAGTCTCTAAAATAAAATGTTTAAAAAACATAGTTTATACATCCACAACACAATTCACATTTACAAAACCCAATTCGTTGATTCAAAACATGATATCAAAAATACACGAATTCAATTCGTAAATTCAAAACAAAATTCATGAATTACAAAACCATTTTGTAAATTCAAAACACGATTCATAAGTACACAAATTCAATTCGTAAATTCAAAACATGATTCAAAAATTTTGCAAATCCAATTTGTAGATTCAAACCACGATTCAAAAATAGACAAATCCAATTCGTTAATTCAAAACACCATTCTGAAATACATAATTCCAATTCGTAAACACAAATCATATTCATAAATTGAAAACATAATTCAAAAACACGCACATTTAATTTGTAAATAGAAAATAATGTTCAAAAATATGCAAATCCAATTTGTGCATTCAAAACACGATACATAATCTACACAAATCCAATTAATTTGGCGAAAATGTTCATCAGTTTTACTTGTGAGTTGACGAATTGTGTGTTTTAATTATGAATTGTGTTTTGAAATTACAAATTGGATTTTGCACATGTTTATTGTTCAGCTCATGTATGAAGTTTTATTGTAAATGTATTATTTTTGAGACTGATCTGCCACCATAGAAAACAACTTCAGACTCTTTGTGAAACCAGGCTCTGCCATTCAATTCTATCCCAGTTTCCAAATCAACCTGGCGTATTGCCTTAAGTTGGGACAGGAAGTTGGTGGAAATGGACTTCCTGCCAGGATATGGCGCATGAGAGCGCAGCACGGAGTACAATCAGACGCTGCGTTCTCAGCCAGACTGCAGCACCTGTGCTTCCTCTGCGCTCCACACGCAGGAGCTACAACTGAGGCCGACCAGACCTCTCTCAGAATTGTTTCCTCCTTTAGACACAGCGCTGACTGATGTTCTCCTGACTTTACTTTGATGCATTGTGTTCAGCTTGAATTTGTTTTCACGTGTCAGAATATGTATGTTTTGCTGTTCTGAATGAATGTTTGGTTAAGTATAATGATGGCTTCCCAATGGTATGATCTGATTAGCACTGTTTTCGCCATGTGCTGTTGTATACGGAACCATTTTCTACTATAACCAGAAACATTTTAATACAGTTTTTGTCATCCGCTTTCATATTTTAGGCTATGAAAAGGCATACTTTTTTGAAAATGGTTGCCTTTAAATGTTTTTGAAAAGGTTACTGTTGTTACTTTGGGAAAATGTCTGAAAACTGTGACCTAAAGTGCATTACGTGTTTTAACTTGATGATTAAATTTACAGTGGTGGACTAGAAGACACTCGCTGGATCCAAATTCATATACTTTTCTAATACTGTATGTAGTCTGTGAAAAGCAGTAATATGTCTAAATTCATAGTATTCCAAAAACAATAGGCGAGAAGTGCCCTTATGACAGACTTCCTACTTCCACGATGATTCTGAAGTGCTCATTCAGTAAACATAATACTCTCCCATGAGGACAACAGAGAGAATTTATGAATGGAAGTAGGAAATCAACTAACACTGGTTGGTCATGTGACACTGACGATGTGATTACATAGTGGGCATGAATTTTGGGCATATTTAATATGTGATTTTAGACACACCATGGTTTTGAGCAGCTAAAAATATTGAGAGTCATTGTCTGACATGTATAACTCAAGTTTTGGTCACACTTCATTTTAAGGTACAATTATCACTAACAATAAACCATCCCTGCTGAAAAATCCAGCTTAAACCAGCCTAGGATGGTTGGTTGGTTTTAGCTAGTCAACCAGCCTGGTTTTGAAGGGGTTTTGGCCACTTCCAGGCTGGTTTCCAGCCATTTCCAGCCTGGTCTTAGCTGGTCAGGCCGGAAAGTGACCAGCTAAAACCATCCTGGTTTAAGCTGGACGAAGCTGGTTTTGGCTGGGCTCCCAGCCTGCCTAGGCTGGTCAAGCTGGTTTTAGCTGGTCATCTAAATGGCTGGAAACTAGCCTAGAAGTGGCCAAAACCCCTCTAAAACCATGCTGGCCGACCAGCTAAAACCAGCCAACAATCCTAGGCTGGTTTAAGCTGTATTTTTTTAGAAGGGATTTGCCTCAATAAACTAATTTGCTGCTTAAAGTAATATTCAACCAAAAAACGAAAATTACCTCAATTTACTCACCTTTAAACCATTGAGGTACATGACTTTTGTGAGACAAACTCACAAAACTTTTGTAGTTTTACATTTTATCCTGGCTCTTTAATCCTCCATAAATGTGTTGAATAGTGGCTTTTATTTTGAAGCTTCCTAAAGTGCATAAATTGATCATGAAACTAACTTTTTGTAACAAGGCGGTCGGAGTAACAACAGAGGTTATAGTCCAAACACAATTTATTAACTTCAGTCAAGCAGGCACTGGTTAAACAGGAGCAAATGTGTACATACAAGAAAATCCGGAAACATGGATGACAGGCAAATGTTCAATACAGTTGGCAAGGCAAGGGTCAAACAAGGAGATACTAAACCAGGAAACCGCTTTGTGTTAAAGGGTATACACCAACAAAAAATCTGTAATCATATAAATTTTAGGCCACAAATTTTTTTTAGCCAATCATTGAGTCTATTTATCTATTTATGTATGTTCAGGTATTTTTTAATTATTTCAGTGATATTAATGAATACAGTTTTTCTTAATTGCTTTGATGCAGCCGTCAACTGAAACTCCACATTTTCAAAACAGTTAACACGCAGGCCTAAACAGCCGCACTCATTGTCAAACTGACACATTTTGCTTGCAAAACGCACATACTGTGTCAAAACATTTAAAATATGCAACAAAAGCTAGTTTTACCTTCAAACAACACAACTTGCAAACAAGTATATGAGCTCTTTTAATTAATCATTACACAATGGACAACAAAATACAAAATACATATGAATGTACATAAGAACATACGTGTGAATCAGAGCACCATTGCTTGCCATTGTAGCCTATTGCCAATGTCATTTGTTGTCTTTCTATTTGGACTACCAAATTTGCCTTTTTGCAAAGAATTGAATGCAGAATAAGAAATGCTTTGATTAAATTTAAATTGAATTTATGACATTTTTTAAACTGTGGCTGAAAACAGTAATACTGTAAAAAAACAGACAAAAGTAATAAAATACTGTAAATATCAGAGAAAACATATGTAAACAAATATACAGTCAAATCTATTGGGAGTATAGAACATAGGCACTATTGACCTCCTCCATTCATGCTGGCACAGAACAACACAGACCTTCGAAGACCTTTTTAAGGTTTGCAGACTGATTGCTAATTGAAGATTTGTGTGGAGTGTCAAACCAGTGCTTCAGTGAATTCATACTGCTCTTGGTAGTTTCTAATGGTTAGGAATAGATGGTTTTTGTTTGGTTACCATAGCTAAAACAATGAAGTTTGGACCGCTTGAATGACGTGCTAACTGTTTTGAAAAATTGTGGGGAAAATGTGTCAACCCAACGAGAAAGGCTTTCACTTTTGCAACGAATTGTCTTCTGCAATGCTGAAATAGTGATAATAGAATGAAGTGGAACCTAGTTTCTTTAACCATGTCAAAGCAAACAAGAAAAACTGTAATATGTGAATGTTTATAGCCAAGCCCGAAATTATTCATACCCTCAGGAGTGAATAATTTCAGGCTTGACTGTAAACATTTACATATTATTCAATAATATTACTGAAATTATTTAAAAAAATGAATAAATTACAATTATTCATTATACAATACTGTGTATGATTTATGTACAATATGTACATGTAATGTAAAATAACGGCCGTTAAATTGCAGAAATTTATTGTAAAATAACAGATGTTAAATTACAGAAATGTACCAAAAATTTTAATTTAACAAAATTTCTGTAGTTTAGTATAAATTATTCAACGAAAAATGACAGCCGTCAATTTTACGTTTTTAAAATGTAAAATTACAGATTTTATTTACAGTGTATTGTACAATACAGTTTGTAGTGTAAGGTCTTTTAGTGGATGTATTATATGAGAGACTTACAAACGGTTCCGATTGGATTTGCATTGTAAGCCTGGTTTACAAAATTGGATTTGACGTGGCATTTACTATACTCTCAAAGTAATTTAGCATAATCTGATTTTTCTTACTAAATACAGATTCTGTCTGGCCAGTAATAGTGAGGCTTGTAACTTAAACACTTTTTTGCCATATTTAAATCTACACATCCACATTGCTTGTGTGTTTTTATGCCTTTTTGCCATATTTAAATCTACACATCCATATTGCTTGTGTGTTGCAGAAGTTTGGCAAAACCGAGATGAACAACAGAACTTCCTTCAACGTTTTGATGCTCAGTTGGTGCGAGAGGAGAAGAGACTGGAGGTTGAAGAGGAGCTCAGAGTTCAGGTGGGACTAGACTCCATAAAATGTGTCAAAAAAACTAAACATTTTACATTCTGTTTTAAAAATGGATACTTTTTGGATTTCCAGATGAATTTTTGTTTATACATATTTGAGTTATTTAACATTACACTCTCAGAAATAAAGGTATGTGAGCTGTCACTGGGGTGGTACCTTTTCAAAAGGTACAAATTTGTACCTATAAGGTCCATATTAATACCTCAAGGGTACATTTTTGTACCTAAAAAGTACAAAAGTGTTCCTCTTAAAGTTTGTAGGTACTAATAAATACTTTTGAGATACCAATATAGACCCTTTAAGTAAAATGTGTAAGGTACCACCCCCGTGATACCTCTCGTACCTTTATTCCTGACAGCATACTGTTAAAAAATCTGTAAAATTCACAATGGAAAATCTGGCAGCTGCGGTTACATATATACAATATATATATATATATATATATATATATATATATACAATGAGGCAAAGGAGCTCAGAGTTCAGACCAGAGCTGTCAACAGGGGGAATCTAGATGCCTGTGATGTAGTGGTTCCAGTAAACTCATCTTTAACCTGTCAATAGTATGAGAAGTGTGGCCCTCAGCTTCATTATTTTGTCCAGGACCCTCATGAATTCAGGCCCTAGTTGGAAGTAAAGAATTCAGCACTCTCTCTGCACTACATCTTATGAAACTCTATAAAAATAAAACACATCAGCTCTTTTACTTCCCTTGTGGCCTAATTCATTTTACTCAATTTTTTTCTCTGTGTTTCAGGTGGATGAACTGATGAGGCAGGAACTAAAGAACCTTAAGCTGGTGGTGGACAGAGACAAGGGCAAGAAAAAGAAAAAAGTCAAGAAAAGTAGTAAAAAGGTAAATGATGAAGTGTTTTTCTTAAAAAAAGTGACAGTGTGCAGATGCTCAGCTCTCAGGTTGTAGATGGTTACTGGTCAGCAAACTCCTGTAATGTGTCTTTTAGCCTGGATGGATTAGTTCTTGAGATGTACTCTCTGTTTATGCACCTTGTGTGAGGGGGCCTTGGGGTCATACAGTGATCTGCCCTCATGACCAGGAATGTGGGCTGGACAGAGAATTAGTAAAGGTGTCTTGCCCTCGTCAGCCTGTGTTTTGATAGGGCCTCTTTTTCCCACCTTCTCTACCACACACACACACACACACACACACACACTAGTGGACATGATGCCTGACATGAGTAAAATAAATGTACATAGAGACAAGTTAACCCATAACCCATAACCACAAACACTGTGGCATTTTAAAAAGCTTTCCATAAATAAATCTTGTATCAGAGATCCAGCAAGGGTTTGTCAGTGGTGGATCTTCATAGGGCATGTCTGATGCTTGCTTAGCAACAACAGACGTGACAGAAGCTTGATCTTAGAAACATGTTCAAAGCTGGATAGCTTAAATAGATAGTTCAACCAAAAATGAAAATTCTGTCAGCGTTTACCCAACCTTTATTTGTCAAAAACCTATTTGAGTCGATATTTTGATGGAATGATGGAAACCTGTAATCATTGATTTCCATAATATGTGTTTTTTACAGTATATGGAAGTCAATGGTTACAAAATTCCAACATTTTTCAAAATATGGTTAGGAAAAAAAAGGACACTCAATAAAGGTATGGAACAATTTGAAGGTGAGTAAATTTTCATTTTTGTGCAAATAAAATCAAATATTTGGGTTTAATTTTATTATGGCCTTTGCAGTTTTTGTTTTTGTTTTTCAACAAAACTAGTGTGGGGTGGTACAGTGGCTCAGCGGTAAGCACTGTTGCCTCACAGCAAGATGGTCGCTGGTTTAAGTTTCGGCTAGGCCAATGGCATTTCTGTGTAGAGTTTGCATGATTTCCCCATGTTTGCGTGGGTTCCCACCAGGTGCTCTGGTTTCCCCCACAGTCCAAAGACGCTACAGTTGAATTAAAAACACTAAGGGAGTACTCACACTTTGTACAGTTGCCTTGAATCATGCCGAAGCACGCTTGTCCGAGCCTGAGCACGCTTACATCATCGATGATGCACTGTTCAGTTTAACAAAAGAGAAGCGCTCTTGCTCAGCACCATTGACTTTGCTTTAGTTATATCGTTTTAGTTGTTTGATATGCAGTGACACGCAGTCAAATATTTCGCTGAACAGATCACCCACTTTTGACGCTCATAAATTGTCATAAAGTCCTCGTTCTGCATGTATTATGAGGGTTGCTGAAGGTGCAGCTGACATGCTGTGAGAGGTTTGCGTCTTTAATAAACTACGAAATTTTGCGTTCATTAAACAGTAAGAATAATTAATAAATCTATATGAAACAGTCCCTTAAAAGTCACGTCTCGTCTTCAGTTTCAGGCTCAGGCGTGCTTTGCACTCACAATACAGGCATACACATGTCTTTCAACTGGAACAGGGCCGGCCAACTTAACCACACCTGAGACCGATTCAGAGCACTCACACTTCTCAAACGAACTGGGAAACATGCCTGGGCATGGTTTAGATAGCATAGTGTGAGTGCACCCTAAATTGTTTATAGTGTATGAGTGTGTGTGTGTGAATGAGTGTTTATGGGTGTTTCCCAGTACTGGCATAGGCTGCATAAAACATATGCTGGAATAGTTGGCAGTTCATTCCACTGTGGTGACCTCTGAAATAGAGACTAATGCCAAGTTTAGACTGCATGATTTTAATCACGATTTTGACTCGCCAACAGATTTTGAGAAATCGCTATCAAATGCCTGAAATCACAGGCTAATTGCTGCTGGTTCACTTGAGTAACAATCACACAGCGTGAACTATCAAAGATGCGATCTGAGAGAATCGCTCATTAGTCGCTGGTGCAAAATATCTGGACCTGTCGGTGATTCAAAATCATGCCATGTGAAATGTGTTCTGGTTGAAAATAACATCGGCGACCACCTACAGCCTATGACATTTACATTTACATTTAGTCATTTAGCAGACGCTTTTATCCAAAGCGACTTACAAATGAGGACAAGGAAGCAACTTTCACAACTATAAGAGCAACAATGAATAAGTGCTATAGGCAAGTTTCAGGTCTGTAAAGTCTAAGAAGGAAAGTATTAGTACTTTTTTTTTTTTTTTTTGGGTACAGTTAGTGTGATATCCAGAGAGGCAATTGCAGATTAGGAAGTGAAGTGGAGACTAAATAGTTGAGTTTTTAGTCGTTTCTTGAAAATAGCGAGTGACTCTGCTGTTCTGATGCAGTTAGGGAGTTCATTCCACCAACTGGGCAGATTGAACGTGAGCGTTCGCGAAAGTGATTTCTTCCCTCTTTGGGAAGGAACCACGAGGCGACATTCGTTCACAGAACGCAAGTTTCTGGAGGGCACATAGATCTGCAGAAGTGAGAGCAGATAAGGAGCAAGGCCAGAAATCACTTTGTAGGCAAACATCAGAGCTTTGAATTTGATGCGAGCAGCAACTGGCAGCCAGTGCAAACGGATTAGCAGCGGAGTGACATGTGCTCATTTAGGTTCATTGAAGACCACTCGTGCTGCTGCGTTCTGGAGCAGCTGAAGAGGCTTGATAGAGTTAGCTGGAAGCCCAGCTAGTAGAGAGTTGCAGTAATCCAGTTTGAAGAGAACAAGAGCTTGAACAAGGAGTTGAGCTATGAGAGAGCAGCATCCAATAGTGTGGGTATCTGCAGTATCTATCAGACATGGGTATCAGAAGTTAAAAAGGCTTTTTCTCAGCCTATTTGGACCCAAGAAATGGAGGGGAAACTAGTGGAAATTTGGCAGCAGTACCCGTGTCTGATCGATGTGTCATCTGAGCAATATCACAACCGCGTCAAATAAGAAAAAAGTTGAGGAGAAATTGCTAATTCTCTTTAAAAGCCAGGTGAGCATACATTTTCTGCTCCACTAAAGACTTCTTTCTCATTATGTAAATAATAACAAAAGATATACTCCATGACCTCGCGTTGTTTCCATGTTACTTCTCCCATGTGTTTGGTTTTGAGAGATAGAGTGTGTTTGTAGTTTACAGACTGAGATAAAGTTCTCAGCAAGTCTCTTTTTGTAAAGTCGTGCAGTGTGAAACCCCGTCGTCGATCTATCTTGAAGTGTGAAAACAGTCGTGACAAAACGCTACCCTAGAAAGTCACGCATTGTGAAAACATCTGTGACGCAAAAACTTTGAAAATCATGCTATCTGAACTCACCATTTAAGGGTAAAAAAAAATAAATGAATGACAAACTACAGTGAAGTTGTACTTCATTCTCTGAGATTTCTTTCACTGCACATACAGATTTAAAATACACATCTAAACGTGTTTAAAATTTAATGTTAGTTTGGATTTGTACACACTACATGATTTCTTTATGAATATGTTTGTCACTACCTGCATTTTCAAGGAATTAATTTGGTTGCCATGAAGTTCTCACTCACTTAAATTACTGACCTTTGTGTTTACAATAGTGCGAGCACAAAAATCGATCGAACAATTAGATTTAGCTGCAGTTTGACCATTGTTCTAAATCTTTTTTAGACTTTTACCTTTTCACATTTTTTAACAAATATCTTTTTATGCAGGAATCTACTCTTTTTTTTCCCAGCAATCAGTTGCTATTATCTCTTTTGAAAACAACACACAGAGAAAAAGGCCTCACTGCATGCCTGCACAAGAACTAGAATTCATTTTTGGCATTTTTGGCACCCTGCTTGAGTTGTTTTACACTGAGAGGTTTTGACAGCTAAATCGGTCACAGACGCTGTCTGTCTAACGCGTGTAATTTATACACAAAGATGTTTCACCATTAATCATTCTGCAAATGCAGGCACACGCAAACCCTATTCAGCTCTACTGGCATGAGACTAAATTCCAGTTGCTAATTCGGTTTTGCACAGTGACCTTTGCTGGAATATTCAGGTTTTGAATTTTAGAACTCTTGCCATTTGGGTACATCACATCAAGCATTATGCAACAGGGAGGGTTTGTTTGTAATGTGAACATTTAACACACAGGGTTTACTAATGCTAGCAGGAGTTCGCCTCGTTTATTATATAAGTCCAGTCATAAGTGTTTTTCAGGGAGAAGCTAGTGCTCTTTCCAATCGCAGGGTGTTTCCTGATCCTAAAATCACAGACTAACAAACTCAGCTGCCAAGAAATGATCTGAGATTCTCCATCAAAATATTTTGGGGAATCACAGCACAGCCAGTCCAGTACATTTCTGAGAAAATCTTTTCCTCAGCGGACAAATATTTATAACGTTAAAACTACTGCTGCTAGTCTGGTTCAATTGTGGTTTGGAAAAGCCCTACACTTTCAGGTTCCAGGGTGTCTCCAGCAGGGTGAATAAGAACAGTTGTATTGAAAGTTCACTCTGGATAATCAAGAAAACACATATACACACGTGCAGGCTGTCTCTTGCTGACATACTGTTTGTTTATATCAGGTTACCAGATGTTTTTTTTAAATATATACATTTTTGATTCAAGCACATATGCCACACATATGTTATTTTACCATATTTCATACACACAAAATAGTTAAATGAATAAAGGTATGTGTATATGCGCTGTAAAAATAAAAGTGTTGAAATATGTACTCAGAAATTGCTAATAAATTTTAGAAATAATTACACAGAATTAGCAAGTAATGTATTGAATTAAAAGTCCAAAAATTGAAAGATTTTTTTTATGCAACATACATATAAAACTCTTTTTTTTAATAAAAAACAACATTCCTCTGAGATTTTAAACTATTTTGACATCACACAGTTGATTCAGATTCTCCTCTGACCTCAACAACATTTTCACCCACAGACCTGTCACTCACTGGCCATTTTCTAATTTTTTTTAACTTCCTCTGTTAACCTTAAAGGTGGTTGTGCATGAAATAGTTAGTCATTAGTTTCTGAAATATTCGGCCTGTGTTGCAATCGCAACAAAGTCACATTCAAAGTCATGTAACACTTTCTATGTCACTGTGATGCTAAGTTTTAACTTCAGCTAACTATCTTCATCATGTCTCTATACTTAAAAGCTTGAAGCTACCACAATATGTTTGGTTGACATTTGTGTTTGGTGGCTGGTGAATATATAAGTAACACTTTACTTAAAGGGATGTTCATAAGACTGTCATGAAAATCTTTGTAGTCATGACATGACACGTTATGAATGTGAATGAGATTTTATCCAGTGTCATACACTCAGTTAAGACATTTTAAATGCAAAGATTACATCGTTTGTTATGACAACTTGACATAAATACATCCAAGCCTGTTTTTGTCATTGTTATGACAACTTACCAGTACTTAACAGACAACAAATTTGTTTTTCATAAATCTTTCATAAACATGATTGTCATAAAGCCATAATAAATGTCATGAATTTTATAGCACCGTCATTAATAATTTTTTCTAAGCTTAACTACAGTGGTATAAGCTAAATTTGTCATTAAAAATGTCTAAATGTTATAAATATTGTACATATTAAATATTAATGACGCTGTTTTGACACTTTGAGACATGAGACATTTTAATTACAAATCCCGTTTGTTCCACTGAAAACGTGATTAGAATAATAATCATGACAATTACAAAGCCTTATAACAACAAGTTTTGTTGTCTTGGTAATGTCAAGTTGTTATGACAAAGATGAAGTCTGGTTGTGATGTATTTGTTTGTCAAGTTGTCCTAACAAACAATGTCATCTTGCATTTAAAATTGCTTAACTGACCAAAATTGCACTTAATGGGCTCTTTTTTAATGATTTAGGTGCAAAGTTTAAAGCGCTTTGCACAAAAGCATGTAGGGCATGTCTGAACCCACATTGGCTTATTAAGGACAGAAAAAATGGTTTGTGCCCTGGTGCACAGTCTAATGCTGTGTTCACACCAGACATGACACGCGTGGATAAATCGCGCTATTTGCATGTAAATAGATGCGAGAACATTTTCACTCGAGTTTACTCAATTCATTTGCGTGTCAAATCCGCTTCATTCGCACATCAAACTCACTTCACAATAAAAGCAGATTTGCATTATGCGTTGATTCGTTTGGAGCCATGTCTGAGTCCACTAGATCCTTTCAGTGGTGCACCCAGCTCTGTGAGTTTATCAACTCTTCCAAAAACTTGGATGATGGAGGCTTTCAGCGGTGCTTCAGGCTGAGTTGAGCCCAGTTTGATCAACTGTTGCCCCTACTAGCGAAAGCTCCTAATTTGTTAAAGCAGCGTGAATGTCCACTGAAGTTCAGATTTTCTAACTTGATAATTTCAAGAGTTCACACTTAGCTGATGATTGATTATAGAGCTTGTTTGGCATGCTGTCCCGGGAGAGAGCCCTGAGCTCATAAGATCCTCGAGTCCGGGGCTCCCTCCTGTTTGCAAGGCGAGAAGGGAGTTTGAGCTCAGGTAGATCTCGAGAACTCCCTAGCTGTAGTAACTAATGAACAGATAGTGATTGCTCTTAAGAGGTAACTATTTACTTGGAGCATGTCTACGGTGCCAATTTGGATTAGTCAATTGGTGTCAATGGTGGGAGGAAACCGGGGAACCCGGGGGAAACCCACGTGAGCAAGGGGAGAACGTGTAAACTCTGCACAGAAACGTTGGCTGGCTTGGAGAGGACTAGAACCTAGGACGTTCTTGCTGTGAGGAACAGTGCTAACCAATGGGCCACCGTGGGACCCATCTAGGTAAGGAAGAAGAGTAGGGGTGGAAGGGGGGATTCTTCAAAATGAAGATGGCTGTTATATGGAACTTAGGGTATTTATAGTGGCTTAGGAATCGTCTGATTGGTGAATCATAAATTGAAAAATGCATGGCTAGCTGCAAGCAATCATAAACACGTGATCCTCTCAAAATTAGTTCATAAATAAACTTCACTTCGCGTGAAACGCGCAATAAGCACGTCAATTACGCAAAACACTCCACTCACAGCGCTTTATTCACGCAAAACGCGGTATTCGCACCGCCTCATTCATGCGTATTTTGCCACAGGATGTCTATTCGTGTCTCAGCATTGACTTAACATGTAAATCACTCGCGCTTTATGCTTTTCGCTTCTGGTGTGAATGCAGCATAACAGGATTTTGCTTATTTTCTTAATGAGTTATGGGTGTGTTTTGAGCATCTCCCATTGCCTTTAAGAGTCAGCTGCGTTGCGACATGCTGCATTTGCTATTTAAATGGTGGACTTTATAAGTGGAAAAACCGAATGCTTCACTTGCAAGAAAGAACTTAAACAGACCATCTGCAGCATGAGGATAAAGAATGAGCTTCCTCCATTCACCATCTCTTTACTTTCTCTTTAATGTACCTTACTCATTACTTTACTTTTGTGGATAAGTAAACAGTGTTGTATGTACTCCATTGAAGACATCCATTATCCTACATATTTAAAAAAGATCTGTTCCAAAAATATTTCTAAAATCAGTTCTAAATTCCAGCAAATTAATAAATGAACAATAATAACAAAGTGTGGTCATGTCCAAACACATCCTATTCTAATGCCCTATATGCTGATGCAGACGTCTCTAAAACCCGACAGGTGGATAAATCTAAACTTTTTTTAATTAAAACAAATATAAATATGCATGTAATACTAATACTGCTAATAATAATAATAACATTATAATAAAAAATGCAAATTGTCATGGATAAAGTGGAAAAAAAGAACCCCGAGATGAAGAAGGCATGAAGTAGTATTTTTTTATATATATATTTATGTAGTAAAAAATAATTTTGGTAACATTTTAATCCTTTAGTATTTTTCATATGTAAAGATATGTGTGTATTCCTTTACATTCTGTGTGTATTGAGCGTTTGAACCTGCATAGGTGCTCTGCCCTAGACTTTAGAGCAGGTTTTATTTGGTCAATGGCGAGGTCTTTTTCAATTTCTCAAAAGAGAAGGCACCAACAATGCGCCTTAACACAACTCTTTTTTAGACCAGCATACCCATGAGTCCACAAATGTATAGTGTAAATGTATTTGCTATGTAAAAAAATGCGGTGCGAAACATGAAAATTAGGGTTGCGCTGGTCTGAAAATTAGCAACAAATCGTGCCAAACATGTCTTGCGCCTTATTGCACTGGGTGTATGATAGGGCCCAATAACTTAATAATGTCATAGTCATGTATAAAAATTGATTCATGGCATGTCATGTTAATATTGTAAAGGTTTCATGACAGTCTTATTGTCTGTAGTGTATGTGTGTGAATGTGTATGGGTGTTTACCAGTGATGGATTGCAGCTGAAAGGGCATCGTCTAAGTAAAACGAATGTTTTTAAAAAAGTTAGTTTTTTTAAATCAGTATAGTTGACATTTATAAGCTGTCAATTGATGCACACTTCTGTTAATAAACCTTTTTTTTGTACTGTCAGAAGATTATATATACTGAAACAGATATGCTTTATATTAAAAGAAGAAATATACATCTTTTACAGTCTGACACTAATCTAAGCACACTTTGATTAGAGTTAAGACTTATTCCATTCTCATTTAATACAGTCCAGAAACAAAAACATAATATCCAAACTGTTTTATGACACATACTTTACCACCCCTGTCATTCCTGATTCAGAATTACTTTCTTACGTGATTGTTATCATAACTAAAAACACATTTTCTTTGCTTCAGAAAAAGAAGAAAGGGCGGAAGACTGGAAAGAAGAAGAAAAAGAAAGAGAAAGACCTCACAGCTGACAGGTTTGTACAACTAAACCAGTGGAAAATACAAAGTCTGTTTCACAAGAATATATAATACCATAGTTCAATCATTGCTAAAATAAATTTGACCTTTGCCACTGTGACCGAGAGATGTAAATCACGTGTTAAGACACCGGAACACTGTGGGATTTCGGCAATAGAGGGATTGTGCTTCTGGAAAGTGCTCGAGTGTTATTGTGAATGTCAGAGTTTGGAGCTCACAGGGTGACTGGCGGACATCCATGTGGAACGCAAGAATTCATGGCTGGCTTTGAACACTGTGATGTAATGGAGGGTTGCGTCAGATACGCTGCATGACTGATCAGTTTGCAATGCTCTTTCTGTTTTTCTCTCTATTAAACTGTCTCTATTTTTTGTCTTCCCTATATAGGACCATAGAATCTCTATATGAGGAACTTGTCCTGGAAGGCATCATAATCAGGCCAATGAATGTCAAGCTGTCAGATTACATAGGTAAAAAACAAACACTTTTACTACTGAGACAAGTCACTAGTATCCCCTTTAAAAGTGTCAGTGAGTGAACTCTGCTTTAATACTTGAACTAAGCATTTTATATTTGTGTTTTTTCAGATGTATCACAGTTATATTTTTGTTTAAATGGTGTACATATTTGACAGCACTTTAAAAAAATCTGTATAATTTAAAATAAAAAATCTGCTTAAACAATGTTAATAATAATCAATCCAGGCTCATTCTAAAAACGTACCGCTATATACATATCTGGAGAGTGCCAAATACGTTCCAGAAGCTACGTTTTTTGCAGTTTTTATTTCCGTGAATCCACTAGAGGCCACTGTGTACACTTTGTCAGATCTCCTCGCATAAATCCACCAGAGGCTGCTGTCGACTGAATGACAGAGCGATCGATTGACCCACCCTCCTTTCCTAATCCCAATTATTAGTGTTTTCAAAAGCACCGATTGACCCAAACCACCCGCTTCCAAAAAACCCAGCCAACGTTTTTAAAAAGCAGTCCAGAAAAAAAAGCCCTCGCCTGATTTTTACCACGTTTTCATGCTTTACCACATTCTCACCTTCTTATTTGCTTGTTTATTTTTTGGCTTCTGTTTTTGTCGTACCTGCTTTGGAATCGTTCTTCCCCAGACTCAAACCCTGTCGTTGTGATCAACATCCTCTGCATCTCAAGTCTGCCAACGTACATGGCAAGCTAACTAGACAAACTGTTAATAGCGGGAAAACTGTCCATACGGAGGTAAGCCCCGTAGCATTCGTTTTAAAGATAAACTTCAGCCATACGTTCTTCTGCCTACATAAATTGTGATCTCCAGAAATGTTTATAGGGCTACGTTTTCCGAATAAGCCTATGTTGTTTGTAATACACTGACAAAAGCTCTTCTAAAGAGACTTTACAACGAGAAAAGAAACCTATTATTATCTAGAAGGTTCTCTGTGTGATTTATACAACAACTAAATACCATTATTGTAGCACACATGGCACTAAAGTAATGCAATAAAACATTAGTTATCAACATTAGATGTAATGTAAAACTCTATTGAACATGACTGATGAGAAAAAACTAAAAATTACCATGGTAATGTCAACTAAAGAACATAAGTGATGTGTCATAAACAAGTTCACTGTGCGTAGCTTTGCTACAGTACATTCAGAAACCATAGTACCGTACCATATTTGGTACTACTATTTTTGTAGTAAAAGTATGGTAATATACAGATAGTAATCAATATGACAAAAAAAAAACTTAACTATGCTGCACTAGAAATGTAAAATATGCTTGTTTCAACAAAGGCTCATTCTGAAAATGTTGCTCTATATATATGTTTCTGAAGATCGCGAATTATGTAGGCAGAAGTATATATGGCTGCATTTAATTTTTAAAATGAACGCTATGGGCAGTGAGACGTCGTTCCTTTTCGCGCTTACCAGCTGACCGCTTACCTCCATATGGATGGTTTTCTTGCTGTTACCAGTTTGTCCAGCTAGCTTGGCATGTACGTCGGCGGGTTAACATACTATTGATTGGGTTTAGGTAAGGAGGAGGGTGGGTCAGTTCATTGGTCAGTCAGTCAGTCATTCAGTCAGTCTAATAGTCAGTCAACAGTGGCGTCTGTTGGAGTTATGTAAAGAGAGCAAACGTGAATAGCACTTGTAAAAGAAATTAATAAGCTCAAAAATAGTACACAGCGGCCTCTGGTCGATTTGAGAAAACACAAACTGCAAAAAAAACGTTGGGACGTATTTGGCGAGAGCAGTTGTGAATAGCACTTGTAAAAGAAATTAATAAGCTCAAAAATAGTACACAGCGGCCTCTGGTTGATTTGAGAAAAAAAAAACTGCAAAAAAAAAAAACGTAGCTCCTGGGACGTAATTGGCAGTCCCCAGAAATGTGTATGGAGGTATGTTTTCAGAATGAGCCTGGGTTGGTTTGTTCATGTGTTTTTAGTACTGCTTACCATTTGTACAGCCAAAGTTTTACAACAAATCTATATTTTTACTTTTTTCACATTTTAATTATTTTGTATTTTTACAGAAGTCTAGCATTTGTTGAAATAGTAGTAGAATTGGCCAAAACGTACAGTCCACTCTGCCAGCAGTACCAGATAATACTTGATCTTACTTTGGCAGTGGACATTGAAGGCCCCTTCATAATCATTCTCTCTCTCAGTTTCTTGGCAGGGTGTAATGCCACATTGAAAACAGAGACTCTTGTCCCAGTTCAATTGCTGGGGTCACACTTTTGGCCTCCAAACTGCATCTGAAGTCATTTGTTTACTAAACATTTCAGGGTTCCAGCTGATCATTCTTGGAATTAATTTGTACAGCTTAATCTGATAAAGTCCAGTCTCAGAGCTGTAGTCTTGATTTCAATATGTAAGGCTAAAACATACTTTGCTTTTTTATGTAGCTTATGCTCACATTTGTACACAAAGCATATCAAATTTTAAACATAACAGACATAACATAGTAGAAGATGCCTTACCAAATTCAATACCTCTGTCTCTCTACAGCCTACATTTTTGGGAATTGAAAAAAAAAACATTGCTCCGAGTCATGTCATTGCACATTTCAGATAAAAAAATATAAGAGGGCACTGTCTAAATTTAAACGAATCTAACAGATGTTACTTAGTGTATGTTTTGTTGTATATTTAAGATACGCATCCTTCTTGTACACATCATCACATAGCAAACCACCCACCTAAATCATTCCCTAAACTCAGGCAGTAGTGTTTTCAAGCAAACGCTACAGAAAAGTGCACTGTGACCACATAGTTTTACCTTGATTTTGCGTTGCTTTTATGTCTGTTGTGGAATCATGCATCATGTGATTTGAACCTGAGCACTTAGTACAACATTATTCAGTATATACAAAGTGAGCTACTGAGCAAACTACTCACATCAGTAAAGTTGTGCATTTAGAGATAAATAGATGAGGCAAATGTATTTGATTATTAATCATAGAAACTGTTATGTTGTTTATTTAGTGTTGTACAAATAACTGCACAAAAAAAACATATTATTCATCAATAATGTCCCCATAAACATCATTAAAATGAAAAGGAACCTAAGGTGTTGGTGTAATACTGCCCTGAAGCATACATTTGAACTGGAAACCGCAGTCAAATGTATGTTGAAGTACGTTTTGCCTTTTTTATGAAAATGTAGGCTGAAGCACATATTGTAAATTGAGCCTGTGTTGCAAGTGGACTATAGTTAATAAAACAAAAAAGCAGAATAAGATGTCATTAATTGAGCCAAGATGTATTAATCAATTACTCTCACTAAGCATAAGCTCCTATTGTTTTTGGCATCTTCAGTAGTTTGCTATTCTTGTTCCACCTCCCCCAGATCTGGCCACTGTAACCACCATATGGATAAGCAAATTGAGTTTAAAAACAATAAGCGTAAGCTCCTCAAACAATGCATATGCAGTTACAAAACCAGTAGTGTGATTTCACCAAGCAGGACATTTAGGCTTACAGTTAGGATTGGCAAAATTATACCAACGCATCAGGTGTGATTTTGTTAAGTAGGATGCGGGCTATGTAGAATTAGCATTTATGTTGACCTTGGAATCAGCATGATAATTTCTGTTCAAAAATGTAATTCATACCTAATCTGTACTGCTTAACCGATCCCTAACCCTACATAATTCCCAAAATTAGAGGGAGATTTATAGTTGGATAACATTGATATAGCCTTAACTTATACTGTACACTTATCTTCTAAATGCGACTGGCTGATTGGACAACTTTAATGTTGATCCAGGTACATTCCCTACTCTAACTGACAAAAGTCTTGGTGTCAGTCCCAGTTGTAAGAGCAAAAAATAATAACTTGACTTCTTGTTGATCATTTGGGAAAGTGGCAGAAGGTAGATTTTTTAGATGAATCATCTGTTGAACTTCATCCCAGTCATCACAAATACTGCAGAAGACCTATTAGAACCCGCATAGACCCAAGATTCAGAATCAGTCAAGTTTGGTGGATGAAAAATCATGGTTTGGGGTTACATTCAGTATGGAGATGTGCAAGAGATCTGCAGAGTGGATGGCAGCATCAACAGCCTGAGATATCAAGACATTTGTGCTGCCCATGATATTACAAATCACAGGAGAGGGCAAATTCTTCAGCAGGTTAGCGCTGCTTCTCATACTTCAGCCTCCACATCAAAGTTCCTAAAAGCACAGAAGGTCAAGGTGCTCCAGGATTGGCCAGCCCAGTCACCATTTGAACATTATTGAGGATGTCTGGTGTAAGATGAAGGAAGAGGCATTGAAGATGAATTCAAATAATCTTGATGAACTCTGAGAGTCCTGAAAGTACACTTTCTTTGCCATTCCAGATGACTTTGTTAAAAAGTAAATTGAGTCATTGCAGAGATGTATGGATGCAATCCTCTAACCATCCTCAAACACAATACTGATTCTTTTTCCACTGTGCCATAACTTTATATTCTATACTGAACATTATTTTTGTTAAGCGACAAGACTTTTGTCTAAGCAAAGTCAGACCCTTACCGTCCTAATTAAATAATTAATTATTAAGGCATGATCATATTTTATTTTGGTCAAATAAGCGTAATCTAGAGGCCTTTGCCTTTCATATAAGCCACTTTTCATAGCAAATGAGCAACCAGAAGTCAAGCTATTTGTTGTTTCTTAAACTTGTATAGGCGACAAGACTTTTGTCATGTAGTGTCCTTGGTGAAATCACCCTTACCACATTCATACACGCATACTATTCTTGTGAAGACATTTGCACCATTTTTGCATGTTGCCAGTTGTTATATCTTACAATCACAGTGTAATCAGAGAGTTACAACAGGCCATCTAGCACTTGTAAATTATGTTTTATGATAAATGCATTACTCAGATTGGTTTTACTACTTGATCGCAGACACATGCACAGTGCTGAATCACATGCCTGTCAACGATAGTGTATCAAAATGGATTTTATGACTCATCAGTTGTTAAGCATAGTTGTTGAGCATAGCAACCTAGTGTTGCTCTAAAATGGCACAAAATATGAAGCCAATGGCAAAGTTTTCATTTCAGTTTATTCTGTTCTTTCTGGGAACAGGGTGTGTCGCTTAAAGTATAGAAACCACATTGACTTCTATGTGTCGGAACAACTTTGTTACTCTGACATGTTTGTTTTTTTTAACATTCCTTGGAAACCAGGGTCGCAATGGGGACGTGACGCAATGCTGGCAAGCAGCCATAACTTTCTGATGTTTGATAACATACAGTATATAAAGCTGTCTGTTATGTGTTTTTTCCTTGTGTCTCTAGGTGAATACAGCTACCTGGGCACAACACTACGCCAAGCAGATATTGAGCCTATGCCATCTCTCTCTGACGTCAGACAGCTCATCGCACTTTATGGCATCCTGCCTCTGGGTGAGTGTAACCAGCTCTGACTAGTTAGACCTAGTCAGCTCTGCTCCCCTCTACTTAAGTCATCTTATAAATGTTCAAAAACATCTGGACACTGTCTGTTACTACTGTGGTGATATCACTGCTGTGGTGGTATCACTGCTGTGGTGGTAAAAAAAGGTTTTACCCCTCATTATGCAATCAGAATCTGTATTTTTTCCATGTTGGATGTATTTGGACACAGTGGAGAATCTGTAACAGAGCTAACTATAAAAGAGCCATGAGTAAGGCCAGACAGAATCTGTGGACATTTTTTGCTATTTCTGCAAAGAATTTTGTAAAAAAAAATTTGCAGATTTATGTGAAATGACTTTGGGTGCATCATAACTAAAAGCTTAATATATTGAATAAAAACTAATCCATCTAGAGGCACTTATTTGGTAAGCAAAACAAGTCTCTCATACAACAGATCTACTACAATGCAGAAAATATTACTTAACAAACTGTATTGTAAATAAATCTAATGAGTACTTTCATATTTGTCAGTAATATTACTGAAATTAAGTTAAAAACTGAATAGATATAAATTTACACACATTTACACAAGTAAATAAAAGACTAAATGATGGGCTAAAGATCTGCAGAAATCTGCGGATTTCCACGCACATACTTTTACATGAGTATGATTTTTCAGGACTCTGTTCAAAACTGCTGAGAGATTATATTACCATTTATATATACATTAGCATCCAAAATTCTTTTCCACTTGCTCCATAAAATAGCCCCTTTGTGTTTAGTTTTTTTTTGTTTTAAAGAGAAAGTACGGGTTTCCATCTCGCATATTTCTATAACAATTGCTTTCAATCTTCTAAAGTGAGAGGGGTTGACAGAAGCTATATACTTAGCTGCAACAAGAAGTATTCTCCTGAAATATGTTTCTCTAGCCTCATGCAACTCAAAAATACCCAAGTATAACACTGAAAACTGAAACTCGATCTCGATCTTCAATTTGACCTCCAATGTCTTGTGTCTTTGTAAAATAGGTGTATAATTGGACATGCCCAGAATACATGATTGTGATTTGCCAATTCATAATGGTCTTCCTATTTTATTGTGGCAGGAGTTATAAAGAAACAATGTTCTTCCAGGCAAATAGTCTCAATTGGTGTGAGCCTGTAGTTTACCATTGGGAATTACATGTTTCTAACTAATTCTCTTCTTTTATACTACTATTTCCTATTTTGCAGATTAAAACATTATTATGATACTAAAAGAGTGTAATATTTAGGAATAAGGAATTTAAGAATTTCAAAAATAATACTTAAAGGGGTGGTCCAGAGTGTATTTTTAAGGCTTGGTTGTGTTTATAAGATGTAAAACAATGTGTGCTCATGCTTAATTTTTTAGAAAATCATATAATTTTTTCATATATCTCCTGAAAACAAACACGTTTAAGATATATAACATGAAAATAAATGTAATATTTCCTAGTTCCTCTAAAAAGCTCACCCTCAAGAGTCTCTGATTTGTCAGCTAACATAATGTGTTGTGATTCGTGGATTGGCTTTTACACTGTGTAAATACTGTGGGTCAGAGTAGTTAGTCATATCAGTTTGACCCTGAATCAGACAGAAAATGACACAAAGAACACAGCTAAACCCCACACCTGCTCTCTAATATAAAATCAGACGAGTGTCTTTTACATGCAGTATATTCAGAATAAGCATGTGCAAGTAATATGAAATGTTCACATATCTTTTGCAAGTTCATTATTTGAGATGTAGAACACAATAAAAGCATCCACATAGAAAGACACTGCAGCACATGTGAAGATTGTGGGTGTTTGCAGGGGTTTGACAGATAAACATGAATTTGTAGCTAAATTTTTAACGGTGCCAAACAGCATTTCCCGTTGTTTACATCATTGTTTACGTTTTTAGCTTTCTCTACTATAACATTACAGCACCGCTGGCCACGCCCCTTTTGCTGCATGGGCTGTATGCGCATAACCTGAAGGGTTTGTGATCGCATAAGCCCTGATGTATTTTTTTGTAGCACCCAAGCTTCTTTCACTGTAGGCTTTGCTAAACTAACTCTGTAAAAGCCAATGCCCCCCTTTGCATTGAACTTTGAGCGTATTACATTCAGTGATGTTGTTTATGTTCACATTACATCTACAATACACATCAACTAAAGTTTGAAATGTAATATTATAGTGGATCACCCCTTTAAAAAAAAAACTGTCCAAACTGAAGCTTACAACTTTATAGATAACACTTTATTTTAATGGTCCATTTGACTCTTAATATCTGTTGATATTGCTCCTTTATGAGACATTTACTAACTATAAGAAACTTTGCAAGAACATGTCAATTTACACTAACCCCAACATAACATACTACTTATAATTTAATAAGAATTAGATAGCATGTACATGCAATGTAACTTAAAACAAACAGACCATCAAAATAAAGTGTGACCTTCTTAAAATACAGCCTAATTGATATTTTACATCAATATTTTTTTTAAATAGTAACATGAACTATTTACACTTCAGTAATTAAGTATTTATTTTGCACTTTCTAAAATAAATACATTTATAATTTTTGTCAGCCTTTTTAAACACACTGAAGGACCAAATAGTTTCATAAAAGTTCATTCAAAGTTATAATGATCAACAACTTTTAAAAACACTACCATTCCACTTGCAACAATTATTTTGGTAACAGCACTGTTAGACCCACATATGCCTGTCTGTGTGTATGTGTGTGTGCACGCTTGTCACTGACGGTAATAGAGTGCACCCTGTCTGCCCTTCTGAACTGTACTTGACCCAGCTAAGCAGCTCGTGGTCTTTTGTAACTTTCTCTGTAGCGAATGCTTCATTGCCATAGAGATGTCTGGTGTCTTGTATCACAATATCAACACCAGCATTCACTCCATCCACTCACATCTCATTCAATAACCCAGCCTGCACTGAATAGTACCATACAGTACAAATGCTGCCTGGTGGGCTGTAACCTTAACAACACTTCGCAGGGAGAGTTGGACTGTCCCTCAGTGATCTGCGGCTCTAGGCACATATACAGGGCTCAGCTAAAACACAAAAGACTGCTCCATCAGACAGCAAGCAAAACTATCACTCTCAGGAGTCGGGACGTCTGTGTCCCTCAGGACGTCTGTGTGCAGGGAGTGTCATGTCTCTCCTGAGGTCTATCATCATGACAGTCCCAGAGGAGAGTAAAAAAGTGTCTACTATGCAAGCGGTGCACTAGATTGGTCCTGATACAAAAGAGAAAATGCCAAAAATATTATTATTATTATTATTATTATTATTATTATTATTTATGTTAGATTATTACTTTTTTATATAAAAACTAATATAATTCTTATATATATAAATATATATATATATATATATATATATATATATATATATATATATATATATATATATATATATATATATATATATATATATATATATATATTCAAAGGGATATCACCCAAATATTTAAATTCTGTCATCATTTACTCTTCCTTCCTTTCTTTTCTAAACCTGTTTAAGTTTCTTTTATCTGTTGAAAACAAAAGATATTTTGAAGAATGTTGAAAACTTGTAACCACTGACTTACATACTTATTTTCCAGCTTTCCTTATAATATCTTCTTTGTGTTCAACTGAGGTTTATAACAACCAATTGAGGGTGAGTAAATAGTGATCAGACATGGGGTTAACGCATTCCACAGTAACGTGTTACTGTATTCTAATTACATTTTTGGGGAACACAGCAATGTAACAAATTACATTTTAAACTTATGTAATGATTACAGTTACTTGCGTTAAGTTACAAACATAGTTTTTAGAAGAAAAAATGCTTCTTTTAAATCACGTTTTCTGCTGCCACATCAGTTAATAAGCATGCGCTTTTAAATAGCTGGAGAACGTGCTGCTGCTGTCGAGAGTGGTTCTTTCAAGTGGAAATACAAACTTTACTTTCATTTCATTGAGCATAACAGCAAAAATATTGCTGTGAAATGCAGTCATTGTCTAGTCTCCAAATAAATTTATACTGCTTTGAACTCAACTTGTTCAAGCACTTGAATAGAAAGCATTCTATGACAATACTTGTCACCAAGAAGAACACCGGGGTCCAAAAACTATGCGGCCCAACTCAGCCTAAACGGGCTAAATTGAATTTGTGCTCAGGATCAGGAGTAAATGTATCTTCTGAATGTGATGAGAAGCAAAGCTGCTTATGGGGTTGTTCACATATTGCGTCTTGTTATTATTCACGCAAGTTTGTTATTTCCAATTGAGGAGCGCATATTAGTTGAAAATTGTTAGTCACGTGACAAGAGCTAACCGATCAGCTACATACTTTGTATGGAATATAAACATTTCGATAGGCTACCTCAGGCAAACACAGAACACCCAAACACTGTTGTGAGTTTTCATGGATGTCAATGATTACAGGTATCCAGGTTTCCTCTAAATGTCTTCTTTTGTGTTAAAAAAAAAAAAAGACAGGTTTGGAACAAGTGAATGATGAGAGAATTTGAAGTTTTGGAAGAACACTAGGGGTCCTACAATACGTCCGGCGCTATGAGGCGCAAGGCGTGGCGCAAATGTTGTTTGTTAGTTTCAGCTCAGCTTATTTATGTCTGCCTCGCTGACTTATTACAATTAAGGTGTACAGCAATACCCATATCTTTACAAATGAAAAATAATTTAAGGATTAAATTATTACAAAAATTATTATTTTCTAGCTTACATAAATATAAAAACAACACTTTCATGCCTTCTTCATCTCGGGGGGCTTTTTCAGTTCATTCATAACAATTTGCTTTTGTATAATGTTATTGTTAGTAGCAGTATTATTTATTATATGCATATTTATATTTGTTTTATTAAAAACAAGCTTGGATTTGTGTATGGATTTGTACAGCATGTGTATTTGGATATAACTCAGTTTTTTGACCACACTTCATTATTATTGTTCATTTATTCGTTTTCTGGTAATT